AGGAGGAAAAAGAAGAAGAAGAAGAAGAAGAAGAAGAAGAAGAAGAAGAAGAAGAAGAAGAAGAAGAAGAAGAAGAAGAAGAAGGTGGTAAAACACCCAAACTAAACCACTTTGTGTGTGCATACATGTGCATGCAGTGCCCATGGCAGACAGCAGAGGGCACCAGATCCTGGAGCTAGAGCGGCAGGTAGGCAAGCTCTCCTGATTGCTGAGCTAGCCCCTCCAGCCCATCACTGCCACCTTGCGCTGTTACCTTCGTCCTGCAGAGAGTTAAAAGACCGGTCGTTCTGCAGCAGCGCCTGCTTCAGCTCCTCCAGCTCCGCGTGCTCTTTGGCGTACATCCTCTTGAGGTTCTCCACGTGCTGGATCATGACCTCCACTGCTCTGCTCACCCGGCTTTCCTACGAGAGCCAACTCCCATTAACAGCCCCGTCCTCGACTCTCAGGCGAAACACACAGTTAGGGCTGGTGGGATGGCTCCAGGAGAAAAGGGTTTGTGGGCGGCTCTGACCGCCTCAGTCCCATCCCTGCAACCCACACTGGGGGAAAGAGTCAGCGCTTTCAGAGTTGCCCGCTGACCTCCACATGGGCACTGCAGCAAGCACAGCATGCACATACACACACCACACACATACGCACACCACACATATACACACATATACACACAAGTACACATGCTCACAAACACACACACACATATACACATATTTGCACGTAGACACACATGCTCACACACATGTGCACATATATACACACATATTCATACACACACTCACAGATACTCCACACACACTCACACACACATACACGCACCACACACGCACATATACACACATACATGCTCACAAGCACACATGCTCACAAACACACACACACATATTCGCACTTAGACACACATGTTCACACACATGCACATATATACACACACATAAACACCACACACACAAGATGCTTATCAAAGAATGTTGGAAGGATTAGATTAGGGTCTGACATAAGCGGGGCTATTTTGGAAGCCATTGTGTGTAGGACAGCAGAGAGAGGGTGTGACTTAGGTGCAGATGGTAGATACACCAACAGAAATCGTGGCTCTATTCTCTTGCTAGTCTGAAGGTAGAACAATGAGTTACCCTTTGACAGTTGATACAGAGGAGACGGGAGTGTTGAGAGCTCCCTCCGCCCTCCACACACACTGGCTCTCCTGTGCCACTAGGACTGAGGGGAAGGATTCGGAGGGTCTGTGGTTTTGAGGATGCTAAGTGCAGGATATATCAGGCATCAGCGAAGACATGTCAAGTTCCATCTGCACCTCAGGGCCGAGGAGGAGGTGAAACCCATAAACTGGGGAGTCACCTTGGAACTTCTGAACACATGGGTTGAGTACAGATGCTGAGAAGGTGAACGGAAGACCTTCAGCTGTGTGAGGCCTGAGAGACGGCATAAGGCCGTTCAACAGAGCAGCCCAAAGGCAGGCGTGTGGAAGGAGGATGCCGAGCTCAAGAACCGCTTAGGGAAGGCAAAGACTCATGCTGGTCCTGGAAGTGTGCAGGTGACAGTAGATGTGATAAATGCAGGTTCGTGGAGGCAGAGGGATGGCTATGTTTAAGAGGATGCTAGAGGCAAAAGCCTAGACTTCTAGTGAGAATCACCCATTGAGAGACTTGTTCTAGAACAGAGAAAGAGAAAAGCAAGATGGTGGCCAACGGAAGCAGGGGCGTGTGGTGGGGGAGGAAAGCAAGAGGGGACCTTTGATTTATTTGTTTGTTTGTTTATTTGGTTTTTCAAGACAGGGTTTCTCTGTGTAGCCCTGGCTGTCCTGGAACTCACTCTGTAGACCAGGCTGGCCTCAAACTCAGAGATCCGCCTGCCTCTGCCTCCCAAGTGCTGGGATTAAAAGTGAGCGCCACCATGGACCTTTGATTTTTAAGACGGTATCTCTCACCATGCAGCTCAGTCTAACCTCCGGCATACAGTCATCTTAAGTGTTACTGCCCCAGGTGCTGGGATGCACACGGGGCCACTCAGATCCAGTTTCTTCGATTGCTTGTGTTAATTATTTTTCAATGAAGAGGTGACTTTATACTACTGGTATCTCTTCCATCTTAAGGACAATGAACACCGGTACTAGTGGGAATGATTTCACAGGCTGGGGAGAACTGTAAAAAGGGAGGGTGATTCAGCTGGCAGAATTTAGGCCCATGTTTCCGGGCAAACTGGCAAAGGATGGGATCTTGTGTACAGGCAAGATGGCTACCCTTTGATAGTACAGGGGGACAGTTGCCTTTAGCTCCAGGAAAGATGGCAGTATATGTGGATTCTGATGGTAGGTGTAAGTCTGGGGCAGCTCCTTCCCTCTGCATCTTCTCAGTTTTCTCAGTAGCAAAGTCATTGTTTGACAGAGAACACCAGAGAAGACATGGTGGTGGTCTGAGGACAAGATGTGAAGCTGACTCAGAAGGGACAGGAAGCTGCCTGGCCCCATACGAGGCATCCAATGTTAAGAGCTCAGTCAGCACAGGGTGTGTAGAAGTCTGTGCGGTGTGCACAGGTTTTCTGCTCTGACATAGTCAGGTGGGTAAGTGGTTTGAAACATGGAAGATGGAAAGCAGTGGATTCCTGCAAGGGAGGGAACATGAGATCTGACTGAACAGTTTAAAGCCTGGTCCAGAAAGAAGATAAGAGATTGTAAGGGACATGGGAAGGGCATAAGGGGGCAGAGACTGACAAAAGTACCATGTGTTTATTTATTACCATTGCAAGAAAGCAACGCATTGTATCTAAAACTGATGACACATCGCAAAGTGTCCCAGTAAGCCTATGACTAAGAAACATGGACACAGACACACAGACAATGGTGAAGGGTAGATGAGGCAGCTGACAGAGGCACTTGGGTTTTCAAAGCCTTGCACATCCCCCACTGAGGGGTTGACAAAGAGCTAGAATATATAACCACTTGTCAGTCTAAAGCCTCCAACACATTAAATATCTTCCTAAGGAAATGTTTCAGCCTGTCTGTTTAGCTTTTAAGAAGTCAAGTCTCGCTGGAACTGCTCACGGTGCACATCTGAAATCCTACTGTTCTATGACTCTGTGTACAACATGCAAATGAAAGCAGACAGGTGGGTAGACAGGGAATGACAAAGCAGACTACAGTTGCAACTCCTGACATCCTTGAAGCTGCACTTAGGTTGTTCCCGCTGTGTCAGAAACGCAGGCACCAGGGCACTTTCCCAGTCAGTGCACATGTGCACCTTGGAGGGGCTGTGCCCTCACAGTCTCCTGGCTCATTCTCCTTTCGTTTTAATTGAGGCTTTGGGGTTTTTCAAGAGGAACATGGAAGAATACCCTTAAGAGGAACTCAGGCTTACATGACTTAGGGGAGAAAGGTGCTTATGCCGTATCCTGTGGATATGCTAAATATGCTTCCAAACTCCCACAGTATAGACACTGAAGGGCTCTGCCCCCCTTTGAGTCAGCCAGCCTCTACCTCATCTCTATCTCTTTTCTTCTCTCTTTCTCACGATGGATCCCTGGCTGGCCTGGAACTCTGTGTAAACCAAGCTGGGTTTGGATGCACAGGGACCCGCCCACCTGACTCTACATCTGTCCCTGCCTCTGCCACTCACCACCTGCCATCGCATCCCGAGTGTGTGCTGGGTTTAAAGACTTAAACCAACACCTGGCTGTGCACAGAAATGTTCTGGAAACTTCTTTTTAGAAATGTCACCCACAACCCCTGAGAGCACAGATCCCCTCCGTTTCACCATTACCTGGTTGATAGCCCCCAGCATCTCAGCCCGGCTGGCCACGCGGGTCGTGCACTGGCTGAGAAACATTATGCTCTTCTCCAGTTTCTTGATGATTTCCTGAGCCTGGTTATCCTCTTCACACAGGGGTGTCAGTGACTGCATGGAAATCAAAGCATTGAAACAACCCAACAAGTGCTTTTCATACAACTAAACTGCATTTGGACCCAAGCATCCTCACGGATGGTAAAAAGCACCACCAAGGCCCAGCAATGGATACAAATACCACTATCTGAGTTGGGTCACGGTACACCATTCTCCATCCCTTCTCTTCATTAGCCCCCATGTGCACTCACAGCTTTCCTCCGTGGTTCACAGGACAGGATGCAGATGGACAGACAATGCCCATGAACAGAATGTGTCACATGAGGACAAATAGGCCTTTTGAGAGGGGTATCATAATCATTTGAACTGGTCTGAAACTGGTTTTAGAACCACCTAGAAGATACACCACGGGGTGTGTCTGGGTGTGTCCAGAGAGGAAGGAAGACTCCCTCTGATGTAGGGGAACACCATCACATGCCTGGATCCCTGACTGAACAGGAGGAAAAGGAGAAAGCAAGGTGTGGTGGTTTGAATAAGAATGGCTCTCATTGGTTCATACATTTGAATACTTGGTCCTTGATTGGTGGAACTATTTGGGAAGGATTAGGAAGCATGGCCTTGTTGGAGGAGGTGTGGCCTTATTGGAGGGGGTGTGGCCTTGTTGGAGGGGGTGTGGCCTTGTTGGAGGAAGTGTGGCCTTGGAGGAAATGTGGCTTTGTTGGAGGAGGTGTGGCCTTGTTGGAGAAGATGTGGCCTTGTTGGAGGAGGTGTGGCCTTATTGGAGAAGGTGTGGCCTTGTTGGAGGAGGTGTGTTACTTGGGGTGGACTTTGAGGTTTTAAAAGCCCACAGCATTCCTAGCTCTCTCTGCCTTGTCTTTGTGGATGAGATGTGAGCTCTCATCCACTGTTCTAGCACCATGCCTGACTGCCTCCATGCTCCCTGCCATGACAGCCATGGACTCACCCTCTGAAACTGTAAGCCACAATAAACTGTTCCTCCTGTAAGTGGTCTTGGTCAGGGTGTCTTAGCATAGCAATAGAACAGTGACTAGACACCAGCAGATCACCGGCATTCATCTTTCTCTACTCCCTGTCTGGATCCAAATGACCTGCTGCCTCATGTGCCTGACATGGTGGCTTGGTCTATCCTTGTCACCATGCCTTCTGGCCATGATGAACTATATTCTCAAACCTTTATTCCTATATAAAGAAGAAATAAATTCTTTCCTCTCTGAATTTCTTTTGTGAAGTATTTTGCTGCAGTAACAAGGAGTAACCGATATCTTCTCTCATGAACAGGTGTGGTCGGGCTGGCTGGCCATGTGTGCTACTATGTGTCACACAGACTTGTGTCCTTTACCTTGATGATGCCTTTTCAAGGCCATTCTCCCCAGCTGGAATGAAGAACAGCCTTGAGAGCAAACAAAGCTGCTTCTTGCTGTCAACGTGACTGTCAAATACCTAAGACTGTCCAGATCTTAAGTGGTATGAACCCTGAAAGAGGTGTCATCATGTAGAATGGACATCATAAGAGGGTTCTGACAATCATGCCATCAGGCTCCGCAAGTGGTAGATTGCTTAATGATTCTGGAAATGCTAAAATTTGACTTTTCTGGTTTGCTGTGTATATTCTTTCAAATAATCCTACAACATGACAGGTAACAGATGCCACACCCTTATTGTCACACAGGCACAGTGAAAGGCAGCCACACTTGGAACATACAGAAACGGAGGTTGCAGCTAAAGAGGAGGTTGACCAGAGGAGATGGCCATTGTCAGATGCGTAGTTTTCTGCAGTGGTTTGAGTAACTACCTCCAGTTGAGAAGGGGAGAGCAGAGATGAGTTGTAAGCAAAACAGATGTGGCTAACTACAGCAGGAACATGAGGAGATGATTTGATAAGAGCTAATGAGTAATTTTAAAAAGTTCTAAACAAAGAAAAGCCCGGGACAAATGACTTCACTAAGGAAATCCACCAAACACTAAAGAAAACACATACATTTCAACCCTCTTAAAATCCTTCCCAGACACTCAACAAGAAGGGGTATTTCCATTCTCTGAGAATGTATTACCTCCATACCAAGGTTGAACAAATCTTACAAGAACATATTCATCAAGAATCCAGAGGAATTCTAATGCTAAGTCTTCAAATACTGAATTAAATGTATGATGGCCTGGTGGAGTTTATTGCTAGAATGTAGATAGTTCCATCCATGGGACTCATTTGAGATAATAATATACCATAATGGTAGAAAAGACAAGAGATACACAATTATAGCAGAATCAGAATTTAAAAAATCAGAAGGCATCTGCAAAGGTGAACATGTCATTGTTAAGAAGTGTTTTTTAAAGTACCACAGGAGTAGGAAGAAAGCACTTCAACATAATAGAACTCAGGGGCCAGAAACCCACAGTGAATGACAGTCAATGGCACAAGACGACCCCTCCTTCCATGACCAAGAATGAGCCAAGGACCTTTGTCCTCACTACTCTGAAACGTATTATGGCATTGGCTCCATAATCAAAGAATTAGGTATAAAAATAATTTTAAAAGAATCCCAAATAGAAACTAAGAGGAAAAAAATATCTTTGTTTGCAGGGTGATTTCTATTTGCAGTATATCCTAGCAGCAGAACAAGACTTTCAAACTAATAAACTCAGAAAAAAATTACCAGATTTTTAAAAAATCAGTTATATTCTGTGTATCCATATATTGACACTTTTTTCAAAGTAATAAACTAAGAGAAATGATTTATTTAAAATAGTATCACGAAGACTATAATATTCAGAAATAAACCAAAGCAAGGAGGTAGAAAACTTATTCCTTGAAATAATAAAGACACAAATGAAATAAATAATAATAATATATAATTATATATAATACATGATAATATAATGTTATAATAATAATAATAAATGAAATAATAAAGACAGCTCATGTATTCATGGGTCCTGATGACCCAAGCAAGCTAAGATTCTGTGGCAATTTTCTTATCAAAATTTTTATCAAAATGTCAACACTGTCATGGAGTGAGAAGAAATGAGAAATGTGGGTGCCTGGGGCACAGCTCAGTGGTAGAACACGCGCCTCACATTCGAGAGACCCTGATTTTAATCTCTACCACTAAAAAGTATAAAAAAAGAAAAGCAAATGCATCCTAAACTAAGTGTAGTCTATCGAGGAGCCAAAACCATTTAATGAAAGATAAAATTGGAGGAGCCACACGTCCTGATTTTAAAGCATACTACCCGGCCAACTCAGTGAGTAAATGTACATGGTGCCAGCCCGGACAATCGACAATCCGTATGGTGGGAGGAGAAACCGCCGTCAGTTGTTCTTTACTCCCACATGGCATGTGCATGCTCCCTACCACATACATACAAACAAGAATAACTGTCCTCTATCTTCAAACGTGTGCCGTGGCATGTGTGCCCCCCCACGAAATATAGAAGTATAATAAAATAATTTTTAAAGAACATACCACAGACCTTCAGTAATTCCAGTGGGATAGTACTGGAACAAACACATACAGACTTCTAGAACTCAATAGAAGGCCAAGAAAACAACTCTTAGGTCTGTGGTCAAATGATCTTTGGGAAGGAAACCAAAAAAACACGCAAAACTTTGAGAAATAGTGTTGAGAAAAGTGTAATATACGCATATGCCCATGTATGGAACTAGACTCCTGGACCACGCCGTGCAAAAGCAAACAACGAGACAATAACTAGATGGCTGGTCATGGTGGCTACAGCTGTCGTCCTAGAACCTGAGGGGCAAGACGGGAGATTGCTATGATTTCAAAGCCAACCTGGGATTTGTACTGAGTAGCAGGCTAACCAGGACTATGTAACTATATGGCAAAAACAAAAAGAGGAAGGAAGGAAGGAAAGAAGGGAGGGAGGGAGGAAGAGAGGAAGGGATGTGTGTAAGTGTATGTCTGACGTTCTCAAGCATTCGCTTACCTCTAAAAGCTTTAAACAGTTTGTGATTTCTTTCTTCAGGTTTTCCTCCGCCAGGTCCCGGGACCTCTCCTCAAGCTTCACCCTCTTCTCCAACGTAAACCAGTCACACTTAAGTCCCAAAGACAACCTGAGGAACTCTGCCTGTGACCGTAGCATCGTGAGGACAGGGAGAGACGTTAGACACTTCCTTCTCCCCTAGAATCCTAGGCAGCACACAGAGGCTTTGTGTGCACTTAGTCTGGTGACTGACTTATGCAAAGCCATGGATAGGAGCTCCTGAAGTATGAGGAGGGTAGGGCAGGAGGGGAGGGAGAGAGAAGGAAAGATAGAGGAGAAAGGAGAGAAAGAGGAGGGAGGAAGAGGGGAAGAAGGAGGAGAAGGGGAGAGGGTAAAGAAATGAGGAAGGGGAGGGGAAAAAGGAGAAGAAGAAGGAGAGAAGGGAGGGGGACAGAATGAGGAGACAGGTAGACATTTGCTTTAAACTCACCTCCACTTCCTTCTCATTGGCTGAAGTGCTGCAGAAGGAGACAGAGAATTTACTTGCACACACCCAACAGGACAAGAAAGACTTAAACATAAAGGCTTAAGGCAGGGTTCGAAGGAGGGCTTACTTTTCATTCTGCTGAAAGTTAAGGAGCTTCACAGATGCTTTGGGAGGGGTGGGAACCTCCGTTTCTGTGGAAGGACGAAAGTATCTGATTAAAACACTTAACCTCTAAAAGCCCATTTTCCACCCAACGCTGTTAGACACGATCGTCATTTAAAAAAAAAAAAGTTGTCTGAGTTGTCAGGCAGCTAATGCACTTGCTTACATAGTAAGAGAGCTCAAAAGGCCGTTAGGAGCACACAGACTTGTACTTTGGTGCACCAATCGTGCATGAAAACCGAGCACGACTCGGAGTCAGAGGACCCCGACGCCCTCTGTGTCAGTGCGGACGTCTGCAGCTGGATCAGCCTTGGATCAAGACTTTGAGAGCAGCGGTGCTCACAGCAATTAGAGTAGCTATAGTAATAACACAGTGTTTGTCAACTCGAGGGGATTGGAAACACCTGTGAGGGAGCTCCTAGGTTTGGTCAAATCACCTATAGTGTCACTTCAATACGTGGGTGGCATCATGCCAAAGGGTGGGGTCCCAGACTAAATAAACAGACGTCGAGCTGAGCACCAGCATCCAACTCGCTGTCTCCAGATGCAAGGGGACCTGCTACCTGGTGTACCTGTTGGCATGCCTTCCCCGTCATGATGGACGGTATCCTTCAAGGTACAAACCTTTCCTCCTATAAGTTATTAGAGTTGCGTATTTTGTTACAGCGCCAAGAAAAGCAACGGATTCAAACAGTGCTGTTAAACATGAAATCCACCTTGTGGTTCAAGGACGACCCCTCTATTGTGACTGTTCTGTGTCGGCTCTGAAGCAGGAATAACATTGGCTTTAAATCTGACAACGCTCGGTTTAAAGCCAAGCTTTGGCTTTTAGACACGTGACTGTGACCAAGCCGAGACCTTGTCAAACCATCTACAAGATAAGGATGTGATTTTATGTAACCGTATGATCACGTGAGGATGTCACAGCAAACCCTCAGTGGCAAATGGTTGCACTGCTGTTCTGAGCTCACGAAACCACTGTTTAAGTAACTGCCTTGCCTTTGGAGAGGCTGAAATGACACAGACGACAACTCCATGCTCAGACTGTGAGTATAGCTGTATAACCTCAATAAGATTTTTAGCTTTTTTGTTTGTTTGTTTGTTTGATTTGGGGGGGGGGCGTGGACAGGGCCACATGTATCCCATGTGATACCATGAACTCCCCATCTACCTGAGGCTGGCCTTGAGTATCTGACCCTCCTACTCCTCCACTTCTGGAGTGCCACAATTAGAGATGCTAGCCAGCAGGCCTATCTTGTGTGACGATGGGCAATTAAACCTAAGGTCTCAGACATGCTCAGCAAGTACCCCACCAACAGAACCACATCCCCAGTCTGGTATAATTATTATTTCTAGTCAATCTCTCCATTTTCAAAAAGAGAGAACAGAAGGTTAAGCACCTTCCCAAGACCACAGGACCAGAGACCAACCCAGCCCCGGCGTCTGTAAGGCTGGTGCTGAAGTCCTGCTGGAGGAAGGCAGGAGCTGTTTCAAGAATCTCGGCCTATTTACTTTTATGTGAGGTACTAAAACCTCAAAGTGGCGTCCAATAGCTCGCAACACAGACTTCCTTCTTAGCTTCAAGTAGCTACTGATGGAAGAGTGTGTGTGTGTGGCCAATCAGGCAATGAGACACAAGGCTTGATCCCATTGGCTGATCTTATCCCAGGGTGCTAAATGTTCTGGAAGTGGCTGATACAGCTTCATCCTCAGAGTATCACGGGAACTGACACTATCTCTGGTTGCGTGCGCATGCCTTACCTCCTGAGGCACTGCCCTTCCCTCCTTCTTCCGTGGTTCTGAGTTCCTCTCCTGCTTCCTAAAATCGGAAGAACTTTAATTGGCATGTGTGGGATGGAAGCGCTTCAGACCAAAGGTCTCTGTGCTTCCTGGTTTGCCTGACCCACGTCTATCAGAATCATTCTGCAGAACTCCGGGAACTGGAGTAAAGGTCAGCACAGACAGGACCAGCTCTAAGGATCTGGTTGAGGCCAAGGTGACATAAACGTAAAGATGTGAAAATGTTGTCACAAAGGAAGCTAAAGGATGTGCACAAGGAGAGAGACACCAGGGGCTTGAGCATAGAGGGGCTCCTCAGCCAAGGAAGACAGCACAGGGTGGAGGGAGCTATACCAGAGCCATCTCAGGCTATAGCAACAGGTGCCCTACATGGCTCTATGGAAGACTTTCATTCCACATGAACACACACACACACACTCACACACACACACACATACACACATGTTACAACATACACTCACTTGTTACACACACAGAGGATCACTTAGTGTTTTGTTGTTGTTTGACACAAAACTTCAATATATATATATATATAGCCCATGAGCCCATACTAGCCTAAAACTTGTGATCCTCCTACCTAAGTGCTAGGTTTACTTGAGTAAAACATAACTGAATGGATAGTTTCATTCAAATATATTTTAAGGCCATTAACCAACTGTTATATAATAAGTGTGTGTCTGTGTGTGTATGTGTGTCTGTGTGTGCGTGTGTGTGTCTGTGTGTCTGTGTGTGTCTGTGTGTGTCTATGTGTCTGTGTGTCTGTGTGTGTCTGTGTATGTATGTGTGTGTGAGTGTGTGTGTCTGTATGTGTCTGTGTGTGTGTGTATGTGTGTGTGTCTGTGTGTCTGTGTGTGTATGTGTGTGTGTCTATGTGTCTGTGTGTCTGTGTGTCTGTGTGTGTGTGTCTGTGTGTGT